GAGCTTCCTGAAAAACTGAAACTAGAACTGCTGTATGATCCAGCAATCCCGCTACCACACATTTCCAATGGTACTCGTAAAGTATTTTCAAAGTCATCTTCAGAGCAACAGTTTTCACGATGTCCATAAAGTAGAAACAACCCAAATGCCCTTTGATGAATGGATGGGTAAAGCAGACGTGGTGGAGGTCTATGACGGCATGCAGTCCAGCTTTGAAAAGGAAAGATGACTCTAGAGACATTACAGTAAGTGAAATAAACCAGTCCCCAAAGTACAAATATCTCGATTCCATGAGGTGCTTAGAAGAGTCAAAATCTTCGACAGAAAGTACAATGTAGGGGAGTGGAGGTGGCTGCAGAGACGGCTCAGTCCCTTGAGCAGTTGCTCTTGCAGAGGACCTGGGTTCAGTTCCCAGCCCCCAAATGATGGCTAATAACCAGCTGTAACTCCAGTTCCAGAGGATCTGATACCCTTCTCTGGCCCCTGAGGTTTTTTTTTTTGTTGTTTTGTTTTGTTTTGTTTTGGGTTTTGTTGTTGTTTTTCCAGATAGGGTTTCTCTGTGTAGCCCTGGCCAACCTGGAACTAGCTCTCTAGACCATGCTGGCCTTGAACTCAGAGATCTGAGTACTCATATTAAAGGCAGCAGCCACCACCACCACCACCACCCGGCTTTTTTTTTTTCTTTTCAAAACAGTGTTTCTCTGTGTAGCCCTGGCCATCCTGGAACTCACTCTGTAGACCAGATTGGCCTCAAACTCAGAGATCTGCCTGCCTCTGTCCCCAGAGTGCTGTGATTAAAGGCATGGGGCCACTACACCCTGGAACTTTTTTTCTTTTCTTTTTTTTTTTGTTTTTTTTGTTTGTTTGTTTGTTTTTTGAGACAGGGTTTCTCTGTGTAGTTTTGGTGCCTGTCCTAGATCTCGCTTGCTCTGTAGACCAGGCTGTCCTTGAACTCACAGAAATCCACCTGGCTCTGCCTCCCAAGTGCTGGAATTAAAGGCATGTGCCACCACCGCCCGGCAACTTTTTTCTTTGAATCTAAAACAAACAAACAAACAAAAAATACTAAGCTGCACAATAGCAGCATATGTTTGTGGCCACAGATACTTGGGAAGCCAAGGAAGAAAGATAGCCTGAGCCTGGGAATTTGGGGCCAACCTAGCAAGATCTTATCTCTAAGAAGAAAAAATTACTAGTTTTGACCTGTCAATTAAAATAAGATTTATGAGTGCTATACAGAAAGACCGTAAAAATCCCAGCTATTCCATGTAAAAGAAAGCCAGTGTTAGTCAGGCAGTGGTGGTACATGTCTTTAATCCCAGCACTTGAGAGGCAGAGGCAGGCAGATCTGTGAACTCTGGCCTGGTCTACAAAGCGACTTTCAGGCCAGACAGGACTACATCGAGAAACCCTGTCTGGGGGGGTGGGGGAGAAAGAAACAAAGCAAGCAAGCCATCATTTGTTCACCATCAGATTAGTAATCACCTCAGGCAAAAATCACCAATAGATACTAAATTCGAGTGTCTATTCTGGGATTGAGAAACAATTACACAATCTCCCGTATCTCTGATGGTTGGATAACTCCAACGCAAGATAAGGAAACCCTGTCTAACAACAACAACAACAAAAACCCTCTCCCAGTAAAGGTACTAGGGGACATGGAAAAGCACGTACGCCGTAGAGAAATCTGGACACCTTAATCAACTGACCAAACCAAACACCAAGAACTTTGAGACTAACCAGTATCTTGTGTCTCCTGATAACTGAGCACATAATATCACCTTCGTGGAAGTCTTGCCCAAAGACATAATCCAAATCTAATCACATCAGATAAATCTACCACAAAGGGCTTTCTTCCCACGGACTGGCCGGCATTCTTCATGAACATCCAAGCAAACAGAAACGAAACAAATAGGAAAAGCCATCAAGATCATGGATTGTGAAAGTTAAGAAAAGACTGAAGCATGTCTCCTTTAAAAATGAGCCCAAAGCCAGGATAAAACTCATAGTACGACACAGATCACAACCTAGGCTTTCCTTTTTCTTATTCAAGCACTCGAGTGGTGCAGGAAAGATGACCGTAAATTCAAGTTCATCTTCAGCTCCATACTGCGTCCAGGCTGGGATCCATGAGACCCAGTTTTTAAAAAAAGATGGGGGGGGGGCAGCCGGGCATGGTGGCGCACTCCTTTAATCCCAGCACTCAGGAGGCAAGCCTCGGAGGCAGGCAGATCTCTGTGAGTTCGAGGCCAGCCTGGTCTACAGAGTGAGTTCCAGGATAGCCAGTGCTACACAGAGAAACCCTGTCTTGAGAAAAAACGACAAAAAGGAGGCAAGGCTGCTGGCAAAATGACTCAGAGGATAAAGGCACTAGTTGCCAAGCCTGATGATCTGAGTTCAATCCCTAGGACCCACATGGTGGAAGGCGAGAACCGACCAACTCCTGCAAGTTGAGTGGCTTCTGACCTCCATACATTTGGCGTGGCATGTGTGCACCCACCTTCCCCTAAACAAAAGGTAATGCAATTTCTAATAAATGAAATGAAAAGGGAGGTTGGAGAGATATGCCAGTAGTTAAGAGTGGCCGCTCTTCCAGAGGACCTGGATTCAGTTTCCAGCACCCAGACAGCAGCTCACAGTTGACTATAACTCTAGCCGCAGAGGATCCAAAGCACTCTTCTGACCTGGCCTACGTGGGCATCAGGCACACATGTGATACACCTGCATGGAGGTAAAACACCCATACACATAAAAAAGTAAATGAATAAAATAAAATAAAATGGAGATGGTCGCAATGGGGCACGTCTTTAATCCCAGGCAGAGGCAGGCAGACCTCTGGGAATTCAAGGCCACCCTGTTCTACACAGCCAGAACAGCAGGGTTACATAGTGAGACCCTGCCTCAAAACAAATAAATACCTGAATAAAAGGGGCCAGGTGTGGTAGCACTCACCCTTAGCTCCAGAATTCAGGAGGCAGGGACAGATGAATCCCTGTGAATTCAATGCTAGCCTGGTCTACAGAAGTGAGTTCCAAACTAGCCAGGGCTCGTGAGACTCCTCACCCCCACTCCCCAAAAAGGCATCCAGTCCATCTAGTACATCATCTAGCGAATCTAGTTCAAATGTACAGACTTGCCAGTACAGGCTGCTATGCTCCATCCCTAGCACTGAAGGAAGAAAACACCACATGTTCTAGATGTGAAATAGTTCACTGGTGTACTGTTTTTTCGTTTCTCCAAAAAGCAAAGAGATCAAGTTGTCTATATATATCTTCTGCTATGAATGACCTGTTTGTATTCACTGTCCATTGTCTGGTATGTACTCTCCTTTTCTTATTGATTTGTACATGTTCGTTATATGGCCCAAAATAAAGATATTAGTTCTTTCTTTTTTGGTACCGGCTCTCACTATGTAGCCCTGAAAATCCTGGAACTCAGTGTGTAGACCAGGCTGACCTGAAACTCAACATGTGAATCAGGCTGGCCTCATACTCACAGAGATCCACCTGCCTCTGCCTTCCTAGTGCTGAGATGGCATGTGCCCCCACACCAGTTGTATTCAACTAGTTTTAGATATATTTTATGTATGAATACACACCACGAGAGTACCTGGGAGTTACAGACAGTTTGAGTCACCCGAATGGGTGCTGGGAATCCACCCTAGGTCCTCTGGAAGAGCAACAAATACTCCTAACCACTGAGACATCCAGCCCTGTATTATACCTTCGAGGAAATGACTTAATATTTGTGCATCTGGTTGGTGTAAGTATTCATTTATATGTACAGATACACATACCCACAGTGTTAAATACTTTGCACTTGTAAACATGACTATTAATTTATTCCATTTAAATTACTGTTAAAAAGCTCAGCGGCTGAGCATTTACCTAGAGAAAGCACAGGGCCCTAGGTTGCATCCTCAGACTGCAGGGACAGAGACAGGCAAAGAGTTTCTCCAAGCCAAGAACTGCTAATCCCGCCCTTTTGTTTAACAGAAAGGGACACCGCCCAGAGTGAATGGGCACAACTTCCTTAACTCCATACAGCCAGGCATTAATCTTATTAGAACCTGTTTTCCTTAGGTCCTGGGGTCAGGATGAGGTCAAGATTGACCTGGGCATGCTTCTCTGTTCACATTCACATTTGGAGCTAAGCCCCTTAATGCCCTATAAGTGCGCCTTAGGAAAAAAATGGGCTCTTCTTGGGGAGTTTGAGGTTTCATTAGCCGAGGAATAGAATTGAATGCCCACAACTGCAGCGTAGTTTCCGTAGAGAACCGTGCTGCACAAGCCCTTTGTGCTGGTACAGAGAGCAATACAGATCTTTGTCAAGGTCAATTTTTTAAACGTTCGTTCTTAGCCTTCGTCTAGTTTAAGTGAACACTTAATATCAGCCGAGGTCACCTTCTTTGCAGGGTCTAGACTGGTGGGGAATTAAGCAGGCTAATCGGTTAATGATAAACCAAATGCCCACAGCTAGCCCTTAGGGGGTCGATAAGGCATCTAGTGAGTGCTCCGAGGTGACACAGTCATTACCTACAAAAGCTCCTGGCTGGTCCCTGAGGCTAAGGAAGACTGGGAATTCTTTCAGATCCCTTAAGAGAGAGGAAAAAAGGAACCTCGGCCTAATTTTTCAACTGTAACTAGGGTCACACTAGTATTTAGACTAGAGGAACTGCAGGGGTGAGCTTTTTGGCCGAGAAAGGGCTAGCCTCTTCCCTTGCCTTATCTTTTCCATCTTGGTTCTCAAGGATTACAGAATAGTCATTAGGAAGCGTTTTCTTGGAAATTGAGAAATTCTTGCGTCTGGAACGTCTTGAACGTTCCAGAGCTGAAATGGCCATTGGCCTGAAAAGGGCACCCGCGAACCCTCCGTGCGCCGACGTGCTCCAGCGCCCCGCGCCCCTCAACCCTGGGGCTCCTCCTCGCGATGCTCTGGCTCACTCCTCCCGGTCCCCGCCCCGCTCCCGCTCTCCGATTGGAGGAACTCAGCCGCTGGCCCGCCCCGGGATTTAAAGGGCCCGCTCCGCTGCGCCGCCCTGGGAGCCACTGCTGGTCCCGGCCTTGCGGCCTGCGGGGGAGGCTGCCCGGAGGAGGTGGCGACGGTGGCAGCATTGCGCGTCCCCGGCCCCCAGGACCACGGCTTCCTTTCTGCCAGGTAGGTCTCCAGTAGTGTGCGCGCGCGGCTCCCATGTTCCCATCCTTAAGCTGGCCTCCGGGGCGCGGATCTGTACCTCCTGTCCTGGGACCTCGTCCGCATCACCTATAGGACTACCCCCTGCTATGTCCCCTGCAACACTTGCACTTTCCTGCAGTCCCTCGACCAGGTCAGGGCTTTGTTGGCGGCTTTTCGCTGAGTGGGGTGAGATGAAGCTCACGGAGGATACATCCATACAAGGAGAGATGCACACGGCCCCTAAGTGTCACAGACTCCCCCCTTTCTGCTCTCCACACTGAGTGACTACCTTGGAAACCAAGGAGCCCACGTCTTCTGACCCATTTGATATATAGGTCTAGAATTCATACCATTCTATCATCAATGGACCGGACTGTTCACAGCGTTCAAGATACACAGGTCCTTCATCCCCTGCGGGTCACAGTGCATCCCCAACACCCACTGATAGCACAGTTGGGGGCTCAGCCTGATGTACCTGATTCACACCCTCCCCCAAGCCTTCCAATATCACGCTGGGGGTTTGGCAGCCCCAAGCTGAAGTCCTGAGTGCTCAACTCCAAACCTGGATTGTGAGCAGCCCCACGGACATCTTACTCCTTCTGTGTCCTCCCTTTGGCAGATCCATCTGTCCATCCATTTGTGTGGGTCCACAATGGCCACCTTCAGCCGCCAGGAATTTTTCCAGCAGCTACTGCAGGGCTGTCTCCTGCCTACTGTCCAACAGGGCCTTGACCAGATCTGGCTGCTCCTTACCATCTGCTTCGCCTGCCGCCTCCTTTGGAGGCTGGGTAAGTGCCTGCCACGCTGTTCCACCACATCAGATTTTATCTTATCTGCCACATTCATGGATACTAAGCTATATCTTACCCTGCCACATCCTAACATGGCACATTCTGCCATGCCAAACCAGACCCCCACAGGTCCGGCCCCACCACATCCCATTACGCTAAGTGCCATTCCACCACAACACATCCTTTATGTACAGCCACCTCAAGCCACACTGTGCCAAGCCACATCCTGTGAAACCAAAACATGACCTTCAGCATTCCTCACGCTGGGATTGTGGGAGCCTCAACTGTCTATATTCTAAGGTTATCAATCAGATGTTGGAATGCTGATGTTACAAGTATCAGATCCCAAAGTATCATAGTTACAAGGTTTGAAGAGCTTGCCAAGTTGAAATTTTCACATGCTGGGCTTCCAAAATGTTGACACTATGAATTTCTATAATCAGGACATGATGAAATTTCTGGGTTCTTACATGCTATAGTTTCCACAATCATAGCAAGTCAATATCCAAATGAGAAAGTTCCAAATCCCCGGGATTCCTCTAGGGTACAGAGATTTCTGAAAACCACAGGTTCTCCTCATTGTTTTTCCTTTTCATCTTAAGTGGCTGTTTTCCTTTTTTTCCAGTTTTATTATTTGGGTACATATCAAAGCTACTGACAAGTTGAAAGAATAGTAACACACACACACACACACACACACACACACACACACACACACACATCAATCAGCAGGTTCTCCAGAGTTCATATTTTGCTACAACAGCTTGCTCTATCTTCCTACCTGTCCACCCAGCTGTCATCTTCCTGAATCATTTCAGTGACCTGATGGTAGCATGACATTTCACCCCAAGTCCTTCAGTATATGGTCCCTGAGAACAAAAACACACCCCGGCCCCCCGGCCCCTCCCCCCCCCCCCCCCCCCCCCCCCCCCCCGCCCCAGCTGTAGCTTCAACCATCATCCCCGCCCCTGCAAAATTTCAATCTGGATGCAATACTGTCCAACATAAATTGAGTTTCTCTTTCAGGGTCTCTGAAATGTCCTTAGTAGATGTTCCTTTTTAAATCCAGACCTTGCCTTACTTGCTAGCTCTCCAGTACTTGCTAGCTCTCCAGTACCATTCTAGGTCTTTGCCCAGGCTGGGTCCTATTGCCCGAGTCCTCCTTCCTTTCCTGCCAGCCCACCAACCTCTGGCGTCTTGTTTTCCCCCCCCCCCCGTCTCTGTTTCTCTCTCCCTCTCACCCTAAGGGTTACCGTCTTACCTGAAGCATGCAAGCACCGTGGCAGGTGGCTTCTTCAGCCTCTACCACTTCTTCCAGCTGCACATGGTTTGGGTCGTGCTGCTGAGTCTCCTGTGCTACCTCGTGCTGTTCCTCTGCCGACACTCCTGCCACCGAGGCGTCTTCCTCTCCATCACCATCCTCATCTACCTGCTCATGGGGTATGGGTGTGCATCCGCATCCTCACCCTCACCCGGAAGGCAGGCGGGTCCCCCAAGGTCTTGATGAAGTGGTCTAAGATAGGATGGCATGGGATTCTAAGGAGAAAGAGAGGCGGCAGGGAGCATCAATCTACAGAGAGATACCAAAGGGAGAGAGTGACGAGTGGTCCTGAAGAAGGAGAGCTGAACACTTGTCCTTTCATGCGGCTGTACAGGACGGGTTGATCAGGGGCTTCCCCTGGAGGAGGGAGGCCTGGGGATTTTTTTCCTTAGTGTGTGATATGGGTCAGGAAGGCAGAACCCCTTCATTCAATACCTTGATGCCCCCTCTGTAGTGTCCAAAGCCCGAGGAGGCATAGGGCCAAGACCATCACCTTTTTTTCCCTCAGTGAGATGCACATGGTGGACACCGTGACATGGCACAAGATGCGAGGTGGGTAGCTCTGCTCCCCTTCCCCTCCTCGTCTCCTCAGAGTCCCCGCCCTGATTCTTTCCTCCCTGACTTTCCCCTTCATAAAGCACATGCAGCGCAGGTCTCCCTCCCCCCTGGCATCTGTGTCTCTGTATCTCTTTCTACGTCTCATTGTGTCTCCCTTTCCTGTCAACTCACACCTGGTACACCTTATCTTTCATTGTGACATGCTTTCTTGTCCATACACTTGACCATGGGCCCCATACATAGGGGCCCAGATGATCGTGGCCATGAAGGCGGTGTCTCTGGGCTTCGACCTGGACCGGGGCGAGGTGGGTGCAGTGCCCTCACCTGTGGAGTTCATGGGCTACCTCTACTTTGTGGGCACCATCGTCTTTGGGCCCTGGATATCCTTCCACAGCTACCTACAGGCTGTCCAAGGCCGCCCACTGGTGAGCTCCTGGGTGACCAGGTGGGCAGGGACTGTGGGAGCCGTCATGGGGCAGTGTTCATGGATCCTTGATCCCACAGAGCCGCCGATGGCTGAAGAAGGTGGCCCGGAGCCTGGCGCTGGCCCTGCTGTGCCTTGTACTGTCCACTTGTGTGGGCCCCTACCTCTTCCCTTACTTCATCCCCCTCGACGGTGATCGACTCCTTCGCAAGTGAGCACAGCCTTCAAGGCCCCTGTGTAGCAGTGAGGAGGTTGGGGAGGAGCCTGGGGTCTTCCCAATTCTGAGCCTGTCTCTTAATGCTTCTGTCTGTCTTCTGTTACTACAGCAAGAAACGCAAAGCCAGGTAAATGAGGGCAGATGCTGAGGGCAAGTGGGATGACCAGGGCTGGGCCAGAGCCTTGGACCATTTGGTGCCAGACATCTGAATCTGACTGACCATCTACCCCATTACTGCACAGAGACCAAGTGTCTGTCTGTGGATGTCTGTGTGACCAAGATTGGCTCAGTGACTCCGTGTATGGCTGACACTCCAACACTCCTGTGTCTGGATGTCCTTCTGTTGTACCAATAGAAACAAGTTATGTGACTGTAATGGAAAGTGGCAAGTGTGTATTATCTGTATTAGTCACAGACTCTGAACTGTCTGTGACTCCAGATAACAGAGTTGACTTGTTTGCCTGTGGCCACTGACTCCATGAGTGTGGAACTGAGAATCCTGACTGGCCGGCCGGCTGTGCATTGTCAGTGGTGGGCTTGTGTGGCTGTCACTGGCTAGGGGAAACCTGGGTCGGTGATTCTGGCTTATCTGTAACTCTGGTCTGCCTGTCCCGTATGCAGCGTGCATGCTTGCCATTGACCCTACCAGCTTGTCTGCCCTCTCAGACTGCTTGGTGCCATCTGCCTAAAGGATTATGACAAGCTGTGAGCCTGTTTCGCCAGGACGCTATCTGGCTGCTTGCTAGCCTTTTGATTGTGTGACTCGCTACCCTTACTCAGTGGCTCCTGGTTATGTCTGATCCTGAATGAGACTCCAAAGAGTGGCCGGGCGTGGTGGCGCACACCTTTAGTCCCAGCACTCGGGAGGCAGAGGCTGGCGGATCTCTGTGAGTTCGAGGCCAGCCTGGGCTACACAGCAAGATCCAGGACAGGCTCCAAAACTACACGGAGAAACCCTGTCTTGAAGAAAAAAAAAAAAAAAGAGAGAGAGAGAGAGAGTGAGAAAGTCTCAAAAAAGTGAAGTCACTTGACCAGTGTCCCTGAGTTTAACAGCCGAACACAAAGCCCAGGCCTAACTGAAGTACCTATGTGTTTTGAAATGCAGGACACTATTCTGCGTTTGACATTGTCTGTGAAATTGACAGTGTATGTGTGCATAGCGGGCGTTGAACTGTCTCTGTGTCTCACTAAGGTTTTATTTTATTGTCTTATAAGGTGACTAAATCTGGTTAGAGAGCGGAGAGGCTGAGAACATTTTTGCCTGGCTGTGTGGCCATTTTAGTGTTCAGGGCCATGTCATGCATTCATTTGAGCCACGTGAAATCAATCAATCACCTGACCATGTATGTGTGTGACCATCAGAGTCTGCCTCTTTTGCTACCATGTTTCTGTCTTATCTATGAAGAACTCAGGCCAACTTCCAGGGCCTCTCTGACTCTCTTTTCTCTCTTCTCTGCTGCATTCCTGACCCCTGGGGGCCCTAGGGGCACCATGGTAAGGTGAGTCCACAAAGCCGGGAAGCTGAAACATCGAGGGGGGGGTGTCGTGTCGGGACCTGGATGTAATCCCTCTCTTCCTGGCCCTCACAGGTGGCTACGAGCCTACGAGAGTGCTGTCTCCTTCCACTTCAGCAACTATTTTGTGGGCTTTCTGTCTGAGGCCACAGCCACATTGGCCGGGGCTGGCTTCACGGAGGAGAAGGACCACCTGGAATGGTGGGGAGGGCTTTGGGGCCCCTTCTCCCACAGGGTGCTGCCTGGCGGAAGTGTAGGGTGGTGGGAGGTGCTCCTGGGAAGGGACCAGTCAAGACAAAAGCATAGCAACCAGATAGCTTGACATACCAACTGTAATAGAACGTCTGTTTTGCCCACAGGGACCTGACAGTCTCTAGACCATTGAATGTGGAGCTGCCCCGGTCCATGGTGGAAGTTGTCACAAGCTGGAACCTGCCCATGTCTTATTGGTTAAATAACTGTGAGTCACCAAGTCACCACTCCAGGAAAGTTGGTAGCCCAGACCCTTTCATACATTTGTACAGCAAACATTTACTGAGCAACTACTGTGTGATGGGCACTGAAGATACAGCAGGGGCTGTTAGTGTACCCCAGTTTGTAGACGGCTTTGCCTAGCATTCATGAAGCCCAAGGTTTTGATCTCCAGCACCACATAAAAACTGGGTGTGTGGTACCTGCCTGTAATCCCAGGAGGCTGGAGGATTGGAAGTTCAAGGTCATCCTCAGCTACATAGAGCTGTTTTAGGTCAACCTTGGGTACATGAGATCCTGTCTCAAAAACAAGGTATATTAGGAACAACACACACACACAAAGACACTTGCTAATCTGGTAAAGCTGGCAGTTTGGAGGGTGGATAATTAGGAAAAAATATGCAGTAAGTCAAGTAGTGTTAAATGCCTGAGTAAATAGTAATAATGATGTTGAAACAGGAAGGAATAGGGAGTGGTCTGGAAATTTTAAGTAATTTATCCAGGGCAGGTTTCACTGACACTTTAGCAAAGATCTAAGGAAAGTGAAGGAGCAAGGACTGCAGATATGTGGGGGAGGAGGAATGTGACAGATGGAGGGAACAGCAGGTGCAAAGGCCCTGGGGTGGGAGTTGCCTGGTGTGTATGAGAAACAGCAAGAAAGTTGCTGGAGGAATGGAAATATGACTCCACGGCAGGACATGTGCAAGCCTCTGAGCTGCATCCCCAGAACTGGAAGAACAAAGGTCATTGGGCAGTCTCAGAGTGAGCAAGGTGGGGTAGTGGTAGGACATGCGATCAGAGAGATCTTCAAGAGGCTCCTGGACCGTTGAGAAGCCTTTGGCTTTTTCTCTGAGAGACAGTCTCTCTGGGCAGGGCTGGGATCAGAGGAGAGTCATTTGGGTTGTAGCTGGATCCCTTGGGCTAGATGAAGGAAAGTGGGGGGAAGGAGGATGATAGCAGTGAGGGGCCACTGTAGCCGCTCAGATCAGCAACAGTGGTGGCAACAGAGCACATGGGGAGAGGTGGGATTCTGGCATATTCTGAAGAAAGAACTGATGGGATTTGCTAAGAGTGTGGGTGTGTTGGGAAGGTAGAATTTTCCCCTAAGGCCCTGCAGGGATGGAGGGTTGGCACTGACTAGCCTTGGAAGCCTGGCTGACGCAGGATGGAAAGAAGACTGGCAGTTACTTTTCAGACTTGTGACAGTTGAGGACATCAGAAAGACTTTATCCCGGGGGCCCCAACAGATTATGGTTATCATCGTACCTGTCACTCCCTGGTAGGGCTGGTGGAAGTTCCTGGCAATCTGGACCTGTATCTCTCTTACCTGCAGATGTTTTCAAGAATGCTCTCCGCCTGGGGACCTTCTCAGCCGTGCTGGTCACCTATGCTGCCAGTGCCCTCCTGCATGTGAGCAAGACAGACCTGGATTGAGGGAAGCTGCGGGGGTGGGGGTGGGGTGGGGGGTGGTAATCAGAGCCTCCTTTTCACTCTCACTGTCCCCTTCCACGGGTCTCCAGGGCTTCAGTTTCCATCTGGCTGCTGTACTGCTGTCCCTGGCATTTATCACATATGTGGAACACGGTGAGTGCAGAGCCCCGTACAGGACAGGCGGACGGTCCATGGGAGGCTAATGTTCCCGAAGGCTAACCTCGCTGCCTACCATTCCACCTTGTCCAGTCCTCCGAAAGCGCCTGGCTCAAATCCTCAGTGCCTGCATCTTGTCGAAGCGATGCCTGCCAGACTGTTCACATCGGCATCGCTTGGTGAGAGTTCATCATGGGTAACCTTGTCCTCAACACTGCCCTTCCAAAATGTCACTTCTGTCTCCATCTTGTATCTGTCTCCGGGTGCCCAGCCTCCTCTTCTGGTGCCTGAGCCATCCCTAAAACCTCGCCTCTATTCACTGGCATCTGTTTCTCTAACAGGCATTTATTGAGCACCTGCTGTATACACACCTGGCATTCGTTCCCCCACTGAACATTTATTGAGCACCTGCTGGTTCTAGGTGCTGGAGACAAAGTGGTGAACAAAGCAGGCCAAAGTCCTGGCCCCGTGGGACAAAGATTTTAAGTGGGGAGACAGTAAAGTCAGTTAAGGCTAATACTAGTTTGTCAGGTTGTGAGTAGCGCTTAGCACAAGGGAAAGGGGATGGGAATTATGGCGGTGGTGGTTTCCCTTTTTATCGGGAAGATCAGGAAAGCCTCCATGGGTGAGGCAACTTGTGAGTTCTTTAAGTAAAGGAGGTAAGGGAGGGGAGCATCTCAGGAAAAGGGGATACTCAGTGTAAAGTCCCATGCCAACATGGGAATCTTGGAGCAACCGTGAGGAGGCCAGTGTGGCTTGAGCAGAGAGTGCTGGGGAGAGGGAAAGACGGGCCCTCTAGGTCAGGGCGGCATTTGTTTCGGTTTTGTTGTTGTTTTCATTCTGTTTGCCATAAGAAATGCAGACAACCTCATATTTGTCTCCCACCCGGCAACGATGCTCATCACCATAACCCCTGGCTCAAAGCCCCATCATTCTTGCTCCTCTGCCTGAACGCTCGCATCTCCCCCAACCTGGACGCCCTCGTGGTTACCAACACTCTCGTCCTTGGATACCTCTGAGCTCCCATAAGAGGCTCCTTGAACCATCTCTTTCCTATCTCGGGGTACCCTGGGCATCCTCATTCCCGGGACCCATAGTGCCTCGTGTCCCCCCTGGGCTTCCCTGCACAGGTGGTGGTGGGGGACAGTGGGCAGGTCCAGCTGCCAAATATATTCATCTGTCCCCCACAGGGCCTGGGGGTACGAGCCTTAAACTTGCTCTTTGGGGCCCTGGCTATCTTCCACCTGGCCTACCTGGGCTCCCTGTTTGATGTCGATGTGGACGACACCACAGAGGAGCAGGTGAGGCGGGGCCCTGGGCCGGGAGGTGGGCCAGGGATGGTAGTTGGGACAACACTGAAGACCAAGGCCAAGTGTTTTAGCTTGTACAAATGCCTTGCTCCATCTTTCCCATTGTCCCTCAAATTTAGTCACACTGCTGCCTCTTTTCTTTGAGTAAACTGCAATATTTACTTATTTACCCTCTAAAATTCATTCTTTTGAGATAGAATACAAAATCCAGGCTTTTCTCTTTTTTTTTTTTTTTTTTAACTGTTAGGAACTGAACCCAGGTCCTCCCTCATGTTATATACACCTCCTAGCCCCAAGTTTTATTTTTGTTTGTAGCTTTGTTTGCAACATGGTTTTGTGTATTTTAGGCTGGCCTCAAACTCACTGTTTACCTCCTAAGGGCTGGGATTACAGGCATGCACCACCACACCCTGTTTTATGGGCTGCTAGAGATCAAACTAAGGGCTTGATGCAAGACGTGTAAGCACTCTACTATGTTACACAACCCAGCCCCAGGGGTGTGCATGCTTCTGTGTGTGTGTGTGTGTGTGTGTGTGTGTGTGTGTGTGTGTGTGTGTGTGTGTGTGTGTGTGTGTTGTGTGCGTTGTGTGTATGTGAGAGATAGAGACAGAGGGGGAGCAGTTGGTGGAGAGAGAGACTCATGTAGCCCAGGAGAGACAGAGACAGAGACACTCATGTAGCCCAGGCTAGCCTCAAGTTCATTATTAGCCAAAGACAACTTTGAACTTCGAATCATCCTGCACCACCTCCTGTGTGCTAGATTATACATATGTACGCACCTTCAGGCCCAGTTTATGCTGGGGATGGAGTCCAGGGCTTCCTGCATGCTATCAATTGAGCTACAGCCCTAGCACTGGATTCTGCTTTAAAACTCATATTCCTTGGAATGATGATGCACACCTACAGGTGCCAGCTACTTGGGACGCTGAGGCAGGAATATCATGTGAGTCCAGGAATGTTGCCACCTGGACAACATAATTGAGACCCTACTTTAAAAAAATTCACCTTAAAATGTCTATACTTTTTTTTGGAGCCAGGGTCTCTACATAGCTCTGGCTGTCCTGGAACTCCCTATATAGATCAGGCTGGCATTGAACTCACAGAGATCCACCTGCCTCTGCCTCCTGAGTGCTGGAATTAAAGGTATGTGCCACCACACCCAGCTCTATGCTGTTTTTATTTGTGTCAAGTATACAAATTCCAGGTATATTCATTTTACAATTGAGAACAATTTGAAATTTAATTCATATGGTTTTTGAAGAATCTAAATTTTGCTTTTCCTTTAGTTAAGTTTTACCTTTTCTCACTTTTTTTCTTTCTTTTGAGATAGGATGTCTCTGTTCCCAAGACTAGTTTCAAACTCCACATCCTGTCTTAGCCTCTCTAGTAGTTAGATTTTTAAATTCTTTTGTTGTTGTTTTCAAAACAGGGTTTCTCTGTGTAACCCTGGCTGTCCTAGAACTTGCTCTGTAGACCAAGCTAGCCTTGAACTATTTTTTAAATTACTTTTTTAATATTTATTTAATTATGTATTTTATGTGTATGGGTATTTTGTCTGCATGTATCTATACCAGAAGAAAGCATCAGATCCCATGGGACTGCAGTTACAGAAGACTGAGCTACCATTTGAGTGCTGGAAGAGCAGCCAGTGTTCCTAACTGCCGAGCCATCTCTCCAGCCCATATTTTTAAGTTCTTAACTGAAAATAAATTTTCATGTTTTTTTCCTAATTAAAAACATTTTAAAATTTTCATTCAAATTGAGTGTAGAAAATCTTGGGTTTGCAGCCTGGTATGGTGGTGCACACCTTTAGTTCCAGCACTCAGGAGGCAGACACTGTGAGTTCAAGGCCAGCCTGGTCTCGATCTCATAGTGAGTTCCAGGCCAGCCAGGGTTACACAGAGAAACCTTGTCTTAAAAAAAAAAGCCAGGCAGTGGTGGTACACGCCTTGAATCCCAGCACTCAGGAGGCAGAGCCAGGCAGATCTCTGTGCGTTCGAGGCTAGCCTGGTCTACAGAGCGAGATCCAGGACAGGAACCAAAACTACACGGAGAAACCTTGTCTCAAAAAACCAAAGGGGGGAAAAAACCAATCTGGGTCTATTTGGTTCTGTTTTGTTTTGTTGTTTCATTCCTGGATTCTGTATTCGTCCAGGCTGGCTTGAAACTTGTTTCTCAAATCTCAGCCTTCCTAAGTGCCAAGATTACATGTGTCACTAGGCAGTGGTGGCACATGCCTTTAATCCCAACACTTGGGAGGTAGAGGCTGGGGGATCTCTGAGTTTGAGGCCAGCCTGGTTGATCTACAGAGTGAGTTCCAGGAGGACAGCCAGGGCTACACAGAGAAACTCTGTCTCGAAAAGAAATAGATTACATATATCAGCCATCATGCCCACTTTGGTTTCTTTTTAGATAAAAAAGATCCTCCTGTCTCCAGTCTCCCAAATACATGAGATTACAAGGCATGCACCACCATGCCAGGCTTTCTTTAAGGTTTCTTAAAACATTTTAGGGACATGTGTGGTGATACATGCTTTTAGTCCCAGCACTCAGGAAGCAGAGGCAGGTGAATTTCTATGAGTCTGAGGCCAGCCTGGTCTACAGAGTGAGTTCAAGGCCAGCCAGGGCTATGTAGAGAGACCCCCCTCCCCATCTCAAAAAAATAAAACCCAACTAAACAAAAAATACTTTAGGGCCAGGACTGTAGAGCCCTCAGTTGGTAGAGCCCTTGTGTACAATGCTTGGAATGTGATCCTTGGCACTCAAAAACAAACAAAAAAGTAAGCATTGTGGATATTCACTGCAAAATGCACAAGCAATCATTTCAATTCATTTTTTAACTATCTTGCTCAATGCATATCAAACATACACACAATTTATTTTAAGTTCTTTCCTCCAGGTTTTTCCCCCAGAGACAGGGCTTCTCAGTATAACAGTCCTGGCTGTCCTGGAACTCACTCTGTAGACCAGGCTGACCTTGAATTCAGAGATCAGCTTGCCTCTGCTTCCTGAGTGCTGGGATCAAAGGCGTGTGCACCGCCCCTGACTTCCCCTAGATTTTAAGTACACAGTGTCTTCATTCTTTTTTTTTCCATTGCAAGAGTTTGACATGGTTTATTTTGTCCCTTATTGGTACACACTCAGGTTTCCAATGGTTTCATATTGCAAACGACTTAGATGACAAGTATAACCCACCACATCCAGCACATTATCTTGTTTTTAAAATGACTTTTTTTTGTTGTTTTTCGAGACAGGGTTTCTCTGTGTAGCTTTGCGTCTTTCCTGGGACTCACTTGGTAGCCCAGGCTGGCCTCGAACTCACAGAGATCCGCCTGGCTCTGCCTCCCGAGTGCTGGGATTAAAGGCGTGCGCCACCACCGCCCGGCTAAAATGACTTTTTGTTGCCGCAGGAAATCAAAACCCAGGGCCTCCTGCATGTAAACACACACCTTCCCATCAAGCTATACACTCAGCCCCTTAAAATGACTTTTAAATAATAATAATAATAATAATAATAATAATAATAATAATAATAATACTCTATCTGGTTAACCTTCATAAGTACTTCGACCCTTCTGGTCACTTAGGGATACAAGGAAGTACCAAACATCCCTGGGCAAAGGATGGGTTTCTCTGAGAGAATCTGTCCTCCTTGAATTTCAGAACCATGACCTCTTTCTCTCCTACAGGGCTACGGCATGGCATATACTGTCCACAAGTGGTCAGAGCTCAGCTGGGCCAGTCACTGGGTCACTTTTGGATGCTGGATCTTCTACCGTCTCATAGGCTGAGGCATATGACCCTCATAATCCCCTTCAAGACCCCTCCTTAGGGTACCATTCCTGACGGGTGATGAGGGAAGACCCTTTCTCAAGTCCTTGACCCCTCTCCATTCTTGAGCCCCAACACCCCTACACACAACACACATCAAACACAGCCTTTCCATGCCTGTCAATCCCCACCCCACCACCAGGCGGGAAGGGGGTGGTCCTCGTTGGGGCCTAGGAGTGGTGGATACTTGGGGAAACAGAGAGGAGCAGATCTAGGGCCTCCCCGCCTGCCTTCTCCCTTTTTATATGCAGTTTGTTATTGTCAAATAAAAGTAGAAATACACAATAGACTCGTTCTTCACTGACCAGAGGGAAAGAGGAGGAAGCACAGAAGGTACACTACTGATAAGGATTTGGAAACTGAAAGTTAGGAAGTGGGAGCAGATTGGCAACTGTTTGCGGTGAATTGTTCATGATCAGCTAATGAGCCCAGGATGGCAGGGTCCTGGTCCTGTTTATGTGGATCAGGAACAGATGAAGGGGGGGGGGGGTAATAAGTGATAGAGAATTGAGGGGTCCCTATTCTGATTGGTTGCTCGGATTAGGACAGAGAGGGGGGAGGGCAAGACATATGAAAGGTTGATGCCTATTGGTCCTTAGAACTAAGGGTTGTAGGTTATAATTAAACTGAGTCTGAGATGGGTCTGTTTTCTGACTGAATACTGGCGAGGTGTGGTTGCTCACTGGTTTAGCGTCATACTTCTGTTTGGCTCTTAAGAACTGGCACGTTTGAGAGTCTCCACACCAAATTGGCCAGCAGGAGTGAGGGTTCTGAATAGTTTCGGTTTGAACTAGGGACTGGTGAGGATGGCCACTGCTGTTAGGGAGTTCTGAGCTCAGGCGGGCGCTACGTTTGTGCGGTATGCGACCTACCTGTCATATTTTCTTTGCATTCGGACCGAGGATGGGCCTGGGAACTGATTGGTTGCCTAGAAAAGTAAGAGACAGAGGGCTACGCAACGCCGATTCATTAGCATATGTTGAGGATTTACCATTTCATTATCCTCACCTCCTGCGATTGATAAGGGGGCGGGGAAATTGAAGCCCAGAATAGCGTAGATTTCCTACTGGCAGAAAACGCCCACCGACCTTGGAGGGTCCGGGTCTCCACCCAACTCCTGACTCAGTCTCAGCCAACAGGGAAGATAGTACCGCGCGAGGACAAGGCCTGAGACATACGGAGGATTCCTATTGGCAGAAACCACCTTCTCCACTTCACTATTGGTCCGCTCCATTAGGCGGGGAAGCCGCGAGGGCTGAGCGGAACTGGGGCTGTTTGGGAGCCCTCAGGTCTGCTTGGAAAGTCGCGAGCCTGTGCTAAGAAGTAGCCCTGCGATCGCGCCGCCTAGGTGAGTGCCCTCCGCCAGCCAGCTTACCCCAGTCCCCACACATGCCCAGGCCCTCCCAGCCACCTGCATGCGAGCCCTGTCCTATCCCGCGCCTGCGCGGGCCCTGGGCCCTAAAGCGGTTGTCCAGACGACTGAAGACTCGCCCTCTCGTTAGGCAGCTGCAGTGGAAGGTTCTGGTTGTGATTGGTGATCTCTGGGCTCGGTTTCCCTTTCTCCTAGTTAGCGCCGCCCGGGAGACAGTGCCTTTGCTACTCCTTCAGGCTTGTTGGCGGCATGGTATATTAATTTCCTGAAGTTGGCTTTTGGAACTTGGTGCTTGGAGCTGTAGCTCTGATGGGTCACCTCTGTAGCCCCCCAACTGCATTTCCTGGACCCCGATGGTAGGAGTAGCTTCCAATTGAATGATCCCATCCACTGTCTCCCGCAGTGGACCCAGGCTGTCTATGTTCCAGTGTCTTTACACCAAACTGAGCCCCAAGTGCTGGGACCTGGCTTGGTGACAGTGACTCTCCCACCAGACTGTGACCAATGCAGGCCGTGGCCAGGACTGATCCCTGTGTGTCCTTCACTAGCTTGTGACCCCTGAGGGCTGAGATCAAGGCTTTTGGTTCTTGTCACCTCCACCAGACTGTGACCAATGAGGACTGGGAACAGGACTTGTACGTGTGTGTCCTTTACCACATTGTGACCCCCTGAGGGCTGAGTCTGTCACTAGTAACAGGAAATACAACTCTATGTAGCTGGCAGTGCATCCTGATGTTTCCCACGTGGAGCCTAGGGGCCTCTGTGTAGGTTCATTGGAGGCCTGGAAACCTGCCGTGTAAGAAAATGTTAGAATATATCACAGTGAAGCAAAATTAGCGAGTTTATTAAAGCGGAAAACTGCACTTGAAGAGTGTGTTAGGAGAGGAATGCACCTAGGTGCCCAGCAGAAGCTATATATCTAATTTGGGGCTCTCGGGAAGCTACTTAATCTCTAAGTTTGTTTATTTGTTTAAATACAGGATCTTGCTATGCAGTTCTGGCTACCCTGGGACTTTCTATGTAGACCAGGCTAGCCAGGAACTGGGGGCAATCCTTCAGTGTCAGCCTCCAGAATGTTGAGATTTCAGGCATGTGCTAACACATTGTTGTACGTAACTTTGAATATTAGGGAAAGTATGTGCTTGTGAACTTACTTTTTTTTTTTTAAGATTTATTTATTATGTATACAGTATTCTGTTTGAGTGTATCCCTGCAGGCCAGAAGAGGGCGCCAGATCTCATTACAGATGGTTGTGAGCCACCATGTGGTTGCTGGGAATTGAACTCAGGACCTCTGGACAGTGCTCTTAACCTCTGAGCCATCTCTCCAGCCCGTGAACTTACTTTTTTAATCCACTGTCTTTGAAGACCAGATTTCAGTATAGTATACAGACTTGCAGGTGAAGAAGGTACAGGAAATTGATCAAAGAAATGCTCAAACACATTTGACAAGGACATTGGACTTAAGTCCATTAGCCTGTTTTGACAGTTTTGGTTTTGCTGTTTCCCAGAAACAGGATATAGTTCTTTTACAGGTGGACTGGTTAAGTATGTCAAAATCCCTGGCATCATTACCAAGACAGTGAGGAGGACCTTTGCCCTGCTCAGGCCCACTTTATTTCCTAACTAGCTCTTCGGTCTCACCAGTCTCAAGCCAGGCCCATTTCTTATTGCTATGCCTCCCAGAGGCATGGGACAAGTCTTTATTATTTATGCAGATTCATGTTTTAGTTATATTCTTTTTGTCATTTTTTTGTTTTTGTTTTTCGAGACAGGGTTTCTCTGTGTAGTTTTGGTGCCTGTCCTGGATCTCACTCTATGGACCAGGCTGGCCTCGAACTCACAGAGATTAAAGGCGTGCGCCACCACCGCCCGACCGTTATATTCTTTCTTTTAAGATTAATTTTATTTTATATGTATGAGTATTTTGCCTGCATGCATGTATGCACCCACAGAAGACAGAAGAAGGTGTTGGATCCCCTGGAACTGGAGTTACAGATGGTTGTGAGCCACCATGTGGGTGCTGGGAATTGAACCCAGGTCCCCTATAAGAACAGCAAATGCTCTAAACTCCTGAGCCATCTCTCCAGTCCCAGTTATATTCTTCAAATGGTTCAAAATTAGGGTTTTTTCTTTTTCTTTTTTTTTCCCTCTCCTTCCCCACCCACAGGGTATCGCTGTGTAGCCCTGACTGACCTGGAATTCACTATGTAGGCCAGGCTAGCTTCAAACTCACAGAGATCCACCTGCCTTCAAGCGCTGGGACTAAATGCCTGTGACACCAGGTCCAGCGTGTTTGGTCTGCTTTTAATCCAGTCTTACAGTAATTCTGTCAAATAATAGATCCAGTTCTTTTACATTTCTTGTTGCAAAGTATTTGGATTTGGTTTGATTATGTGCTTTCTGTTTGTCCAGGTTTTTCTGTTCCTTTTTTCTCCCTGTTTATCTCCAGGCAGAGAGCAGCCCATAGAAACATGACCACCAATATGGGCCCCTTACACCCATACTGGCCCAGGCACCTGAGGCTGGACAACTTCGTGCCTAATGACCTCCCGACCTGGTATATCCTGGTTGGCCTGTTCTCCGTCTCTGGAGTCCTAATTGTGAGCACATGGCTGTTGTCCCATCGAGTGTCCGTTGTCCCCCTCGGGACTTGGCGTCGACTGGCCCTGTGCTGGTTTGCTGTGTGTGCGTTCATTCACCTTGTGATTGAGGGCTGGTTCTCTTTCTACCATGACATCCTTCTTGAAGACCAAGCCATCTTATCCCAGCTCTGTGAGTCCTGACTTCCTGTACTGTGGGAGGGAATTTTCCGAGTGGAGATGGGCTTTGATAGTTACCACCCCGCCCCAATGCGTGCTTGCTTGCTGTCTTTCTTTTTTTTCTCCCTTCCTTCCTTCTTTCCTTCCTTCCTTCCTTCCTTCCTTCCTTCCTTCCTTCCTTCCTTCCTTTTTAAATTCTGTTAACTTCTTTTTAAAGCCTAAGCAGTTGTTATCTGTGCTGGGATTCTTTTTTTAATTTTTAAGATTTATTAATTTTGGGCTGGAGAGATGGCTCAGTGGTTAAGAGCACTGACTGTTCTTCCAGAGGACCTGAGTTCAATTCCCAGCACCCACATCAGGCATTTCACAAATGCCTGTAACTAGCTTCAGGGGATCTGACACCTCTCTGGCTTCCAAGCACCTGTACACATGTGATACACACATGCACAAGTACACACACACCCCTAAATAAAAATAAATTAAAAAAATAAAATAATTTTTATTTTATGTGTATGAGTGTTCTGCCTACGTGTGTGTATGTGTGTTTCTGTGTGTGTGTGTGTGTGTGTGTGTGTGTGTATGTGTGTGTGTGTTTCTGTGTGTGTGTGTGTGTGCTGTGTACATGCCCATGGAGGCAGGGAAAAGGCACTAGATCCCCTGAAACTGGAAATGGGGATGGCTGGGATTCTTTTAAATCCTTTTTTCTATTAATAATTTTAAATTTAATTTAATGTGCATGGGTGTTTTACCTACCAGTATGTCTGTATACTACATGTATGCAGTACCTGCAAAGGTCAAAAGAGGGAATTGGGACCCCCCAGGACTTGAGTTAAAGAGGATTGTGAGCCACCATGTGAGCGCCCTGTCTTCTAGAAGAGCAGTCAGAGCTCTTAGTGCTGAACCATCTCTCCAGCCCAAAGTTCACATGACATTCAGAGGCTTTTCATTTTGAGTCTTATGTAGACCTGGCTGGCTTGGAACTTGCTATGTAGATCAGGCTGGCCTTGAACTCACATAGATCAGCTACTTCTGCTTCCCAAGTGCTTGCATTAAAGGGTATGATACCATGCCCCACCCAGTTGGGGACACTTGTAAGCCTCCATGGAGACACTGAACCCAGGTCCTCTGCAAGAGCAGCAAGTGCTTCACTTTCTACTGAGTCATCTCTCCACCCCCTCAACTTACTTGTTTGGTTTGTTTATTTATTTATTTATTTATTTATTTATTTATTTATTATTTAATTTTTATGTTCATTGGTATTTTCCCTTCATGCATGTCTGTGTGAGAGTGTCAGGTCCCCTAGAACTGGAGTTACAGACAGCTGTGAGTTGTCTTGTGGGTGCAGGGATTTGAACCTGGGTCCTCTGGAAGAGCAGTCAGTGCTCTTAACCGCTGAGCCTTCTCTCCAGCCCCTACTTGTTTGTTTTGTGACAGATCTCACTGAATAGCTTTGGCTGGCTTGGAATTCTCTATGTAGACCAGGCTGGTCTTGAACCCACAGAAATTCTCCTGTCTCTGCCTCCCAAGTGCTGAGATTAAAGGTCTTTGCCACCAAACCCAGCCTGTTAACTTTTTGATTGCACATATATTCACGAGTCAATATCAAACCATTTAAAGAAATATACAGTGAAAATCTACCTTCTGTCTACCATGTTTCTCCAAAACTCCAATAATTATTTCAGGAGCAAGGGGTAGCTCTATTGTAGAGCGTGTGTGTAGCATGGACAAGACCCTGAGTTCCATCCCTAACACCAAAAAAGTTATATTTCTTTTCAGAGTTTATTTGTGTATAAGCTATACACATAAGCCTCAGTTTACTTGACTGTGAAAGGGGATAATAGTAAATACCACACTTATATAAGGCACTTAGAACTGTGGCAAGCAGTAAGTGCTCTCTAGTGATTCATGTTTATTCTTTTTTGGGGGGCATGTGTTGAGATAGGGTTTCTCTGTGTAGCAGCTCTAGTTGTCTTGGAACTCACTCTGTAGACCAGGCTGGCCTCGAACTCACAGAGATCTGCCTGCTTCTGCTTCCGTAGTGTTGGGATTAAAGGTGTGCGCCACCACCGCCTGGCAGCCATCTTCTGTTTTTTCCAGACGATATCTCATGCAGTCTGTGCTGGCGTCTAAATATTTGTAGTTAAAGGATGAACTTGAATTTCTCTTCCTCCTGCCTCTGTCTCTCAAGTGCTGAGATTACAAGCATGCGCCATCACCCCTGACTCTCACACTATCATCTATGCCTCCTTTTATACCATATGTCTTGAGTGCCATGCACTAATAGCACCATTATTGTGTATCAGTCTTTACACATGGTCTTTAAACACACAAACCTTAGAATCGAAACTGCTACCTCCATTGTACAGTTGAATAAACTGAGGCATAGGGATATTGTAAAGTTTGTTGTCATACAGTGATTATCACTAATATGAGTTCCTTTTCCTGACTTGATTCTTCATGTATCTTTGTTTCCCTCAGGGAAAGAGTATTCCAAGGGAGACAGCCGATATATCCTGTAAGTATTTTGCCTCTGTCAGTGGAAATCTGTATTGGTTTGGGGCCGTGGTGAGTTGGGGCACTAACAAGTTGTTCTGTGGGCAGAGCACAATGATGCCAGTGTCCATCTTCTCTTGCAGTAATGATGGCTTCATCGTCTCTATGGAGGCTATCACAGCTTTTCTCTGGGGACCACTCAGCCTGTGGGTAGTGATTGCCTTTCTCCGCCAGCAACCCTTCCGATTTGTCCTACAGCTTGTGGTCTCTGTGGGTAAGGAGAAAACCTATACCGGCACTACAAGGGTTAATGGGGGAATCTGTAGATACAGGCACATCCCTGTGGGTGAGATCTCATAAGTATCCATTCAGGGGTGAGACATTCTGAATTATAAACTCCTTGGTATTCTGAAACATCCAAATCTCTTTCTGAGCCTGCCTCTCCAGCAGGAATGTACATTTCTCTTCTTTCTCCATCAGTCTCCTATGAAGGTTACTTGATATAGTCCATGTTGCCCAAAGTCCCTGGGTCCTCCAGGATCAGAACCTAAAGTGTTAGCTTTTTTTTTTTCATTTGCATATATGAGCTCTCTTTAGTCCTGAAATCCCAAGTTGTCATGAATTCTAGGATTTATTTATTTATTTATTATTTATTTTTTGTTTTTTTTTTTTGAGACAGGGTTTCTCTGTGTAGTTTTGGTGTCTGTCCTGGATCTCGCGCTGTAGACCGGGCTGGCCTCGAACTCAGATCCACCTGGCTCTGCCTCCCGGGTGCTGGAATTAAAGGCGTGAGCCACCACTGCCTGGCAAATTCTAGGATTTTAAACTGCCTTCAATTCTAGATCTTTGAGGTCTCCTGAGTTGAATTCTCTATGCTCCTACTGAGTGTGGAGGTACATGCTTGTAATTCTAGCATTCAGAAGGCTGAGGCAAGAGGATTGTGAGTTTGAGGTCAACCTAGGCTACATACCAAGACTTCCTCTCTCTCTCTCTCTCTCTCTCTCTCTCTCTCTCTCTCTCTCTCTCTCTCTCTCTCACACACACACACACACACACACACACACACACACACACACACACAGGGAGGAAGGGCAGGGTGAAGGGAAGAAAGGAAAAAAAATTCCCCGAACTCTGATTTCTGCAATTTGTACTTTTGTTATCTCAGATTTCCAGCTTAGGTTTCAGAATTTGGGTTGAGCTGGGAGAGAGTCTGACTTAGCTTCATTATCCTCACAAGGGTTTTTTCTTCTCTTGCCTCCCACAGGCCAGATATACGGGGATGTGCTGTACTTCCTGACAGAGCAGCGGGATGGATTCCAGCATGGGGAGCTAGGCCACCCCCTTTATTTCTGGTTTTACTTTGTTACCATGAATGGCATATGGCTGGTGGTACCTGGAGTCCTTGTGCTTGATTCCATAAAGCATCTCACTCATGCCCAGAGCATGTTGGACAGCAAGGCCATGAAAAGTAAGAGCAAGCATAACTAAAGAGCAGTAGAGTGGGCCGGAACAGCGCTGACGAGGTGCTCTGCCCGCCTCCCAGAAGACTCGAGGCCTCCTCGCAGGTTGAAGGGTCACAACTGCCTGATGTGTCCCACTCAGGCTGATGAGTGGGCACAAAAAGGGCCATAGTCAGGAAAGGTAGGGAATGGGTGGAGCTACTGCATCGGGGGAAAGATGTGAGAGAGGGTTGGGGGGTGGGGTCCATGATGGTGGCAATTTTCAAAACTGGGAAATAAAATACCTTTAATTATAATACTGAGAGATATTTAATTCCTAATCCTAGTAATGTCATGTTACTAACCCCGCAGACCTCTCCCATCACTTGATCATCCCATGTCTGGCCTTATAAACCCTTAACGCTTACTCCAAAGACTCCCATGATTCACCCTATAGAACCTAGAACCCACTACACAGACCTGCCTTCAAGATCACCCTGTCACTTATCCCATAAATCCTGCCAGTAACCCCGTAGTTCTCTTATGTTAGCTTGGGCTGCCATAACAAAATGATATGGATTGAGCAGTAAACAGCAGAATGGAATTCTCGGTACTGGAGCTGGTCAAAGTGTCGGAAGGTTTGGCTTGTTTTTGTTTTTGTTTTTTTTTTTTTTCTTTTTAGTTTTTTGTGTCACTTTTGCTTTTTTTTTTTTTTTAAAGATTTATTTATTTATTATGTATACAGCATATGTGACTGCAGGCCAGAAGAGGGCACCAGATCTCATTACAGGTGGTTGTGAGCCACCATGTGGTTGCTGGGAATTGAACTCAGGACCTCTGGAAGAGCAGTCAGTGCTCTTAACCTCTGAGCCATCTCTCCAGCCCCTTGTTTTTGTTTTTGTTTTTGTTTTCTGAAGCCTCTTTCCTAGCACTGAATTCTGTGTTCTCACATTTCCCCGTGTGCTCAGCTTCTGCTGTATGTACTCTTAGGACACCATTCAGATTGGATTAGGTCCCATTGTACCAGTCTCATAGCCTCATGTTTAACTTCATCACATCTTTTTTTTTTTTTTTTTGGTTTTGGTTTTGGTTTGGTTTGGTTTTTTCGAGACAGGGTTTCTCTGTGTAGTTTTGTTGCCTGTCCTGGATCTCACTCTGTAGACCAGGCTGGCTTCAAACTTACAGAGATCCGCCTGGCTCTGCCTCCCTAGTGCTGGGATTAAAGGCGTGCGCCACCACCACTCATCACATCTTTTAAAGACTCTGTCTCCAAACTGGCCACCTTCTAAGGTTCTTAGAGTAACGATTTGAGTATATGAACTTGAAGAGGACACAGTTCAGTCCATAACATTCCCTCCCTCTGGGCTCCCTAAATCACATCCTTCTTGCATGCAGACTTTCTTTATTCCCATCCCTCATTCTCAAATCCTTCACTCATTCTGGAATTAACTTTTCCTGGAGTGAAGTTAGAGTGCTGGAGATCAAAGAGAATCCAGGGTCTTAAATGCAGCTCTATCCCTGAGACACTCATCACTCATGAATTAACTTTGTTTTGGTTGGATGGTTGGTTTTTTGTTTGTTCGTTTGTTTGTTTGTTTTTTGAGACAGGGTTTCTCTGTGTAACAGCCCTGGCTGGTCTGGAACTCATACTATACCAGGCTGGCCTCGAACTCAGGGAGATCTGCTTGTCTCTGACTCCCAAGTGCTGGGATTAAAGGTGTGCACTGCTGCCACCACCTGGTGAACTTTGTGGGTTTTTTTTTTTTTATTTTTTGGTTTTTGTTTTGTTTTTTTGAGTCATGGTCGCCTTCTATAACCTAAGCTAGCCTGGAACTCCCTATGTAGTTCAGGCAGGCAGCCTTTCAAATGCTAGCTAGTATTGTGGGTTTGTGCCACCAAGTCGAGCTTCTTTGATTGATTGATTGATTGATTGAGTGATTGAGTGATTGATTTGGTGACAAGGAATTACTGTGTATTCTAGGCTAGTCTTACCATGAAGCCCAGGCTGAAGTTGAACTAGTGATCCTCCTGGCCCCTCTGGCTCAACCTCTCCAGTGGTAAGAGTACAGGCATGTGCTATCATGCCCAGCTCCTTGCATGGATTTTTTTTTTTAATTCACATTTATCTTATTGAGTTTGGCTGTTTTCTGTGCACCGTCTGTGTAGCACCTGTGGAGGCCAGAAGGAGCATCAGCTCTCCTGGGACTGGAGTTAGAGATGTTTGTGAGCCACCATATAGAAGAGTAGCCAGTGCTCTTGACCCCTGAGCCAACTCTCCCCTGGCATGGATTTTTAATCCTAAGTCTCAACTAAATCGAAGGATAAGACTTGAGGTATGACTTATCCTTAGGCAAGAACTCCTTACTTTGCTGTGAACCTGTAAAATCAGTTTTCTGTTTACAAAATGCAGTGGCAAAGTTGGGAAGAGGTGCACGCCTTTAATCCTAGCACTTGAGAGGCAGAGGCCAACCTGGTCTACATAGAGAATTCCAAAACAGCCAGAGCTACATAGTGAGACCCTGCCTTGAAAAAAAAAAATGCAGTGCCAGGGACAGATAGATCCCATTCCACAATGGAGAACTTGAAAAGAGAAATGGGATCACAGAATCCAAGTAAGTGAAAATCCCATTTCAGTGTTAAATCCCCTTGGCTTGATGCTATCTCTTCAGGTAGGGGTCCTGCCTCTGAACCTGCTGGGGCCAAAGTGTTACTCTTGACCCTGGGTGGCAGCTTGTCCCACTGAAACCAAGGAATGGCCTGCCTTTCATAACTAAGAGGCAGACAGTTCTACTACTCCAATCACTCTGCTTTCACAACCTGAAAACCCTATTGTCCTGTGCTATAGAACTCGAGTGGGATGACGTGCCTTTATTTTGCCCTGTCCTTGTCCCCCTCAGTCTCAGCTGGCAGTGTCTGCTGGTGTTACCATCCCTCTACTCCTGGATTCCGATAAGATGGCTGGTCAGATCAGTGAAGCATAGCCAGCAGTGATTTTTATAGAGTGTCTAGCCATCGCTCCATGCCCATGATGTTTCCTCTGTAACACTTGGCTTGGTTTTTGCAATATGAGATAGGCTGAAAATGTTCTAAGTCTCCTTGTTCCTTTCTTCCAAATACTTCTTTTTTGTTTGTGTTTCTCTGCATAGTCCTGGCTGTCCTGGAACTTACTCTGTAGATCAGGCTGGCCTTGAACTCAGAGATTTCTTTGTGCTGCCTCCTAAGTGCTGGGACTAAAGGCATGTTCCACCACTGCCTAGCTCAAGCACTTATTTTTTTTGGGGGGGGGGTTGTTTTTGTTTTTGTTTTTCGAGACAGGGTTTCTCTGTGTAGTTTTGGAGCCTGTCCTGGATCTCGCTCTGTAGCCCAGGCTGGCCTCGAACTCACAGAGATCCGCCTGGCTCTGCCTCCCGAGTGCTGGGATTAAAGGCGTGTGCCACTACCTCCGGGCCCACTTGTTTTTCAATTGCTCTGTTCCTGATCATGTTTTTCTGTTAAGCAGCAAGGAGAAATCAGGTTACAACACCTGTTCACTTTTCTTTCTTTCTTTTTTTTTCTTCTTTCTTTTTGTTTGCTTGTTTTCTTTTGTTTTTCAGATAAGTTCTCATGCTGTAGTCCAGGCTGGCCTGGAACTAATTATGTAGCCAGAATTGCTTAAAGCTCATGGCAATCCTCCTGCTTCCACCTCTTGAATGGTGGGATTACAGATATGAGCCACCCGTCACCCAGTAATCTTCAGTGCATTTCTTAGAAATCTCAACTGAAAATCCAAGTTTACTGCTCCTGAGTTCTACCTTTAGTAGAATAAACTCAGTCCAGTTTCCATTTCCATGTGAGATCTCAACAGAAGCATCTAGAATGTCCATATTTTTTGTAATAGTGAAAGGATAGGAAAAAGATATATTAAATGTGGTCACTTGGAGAAGAGAAGGAAATAAAAGGACCTGGGGATCCCAATTCTGTCTTTGGGGTGTTCTAGGTTTAAATGGAGGGGAAATGGTGCAGGGATCAGGAGTTATGCAGAACTAGGCAGTCCTGGGTGAGGGATAGTCCGGTTTGTCGTTATCTCCCTCCCAGTTCTGTATGGTGGTCTAGAGAAGTCAGTTGTTGACAATTTAGGGAAGCCACCTGGTTTTGTGAGCTGATTAGTGCTGCTCCAGGGTATGGCCTGCTCCAGGGTACGGCCTTGCCATCATGGATAACTGCCCCCCCCACCCCACCCCCGTGGGTATAGTCTGCTCAGCAGACTTGCCTATTGCTCAGGGGGTAGTTTAAGTCCCACATTATATGGATGTTTTTTGATCCATCCCTGTTGAGTACAGGCTGTGCCTTGCTCTACAGCACTTCATGCTTTGTGAAACACTAGCTTTTCAGGCTGTCTTGCTTTGGGAGACTCCATTTCAGAAGCAGCATTTAATAGCATTTTGAGTGTAATCCCAGAAGCAGGATGACTCTGCACCTTGGTGGACACATAAATAATACCATCTGTCCAGTGCCACCTACAGGACACAGACTGATGTTACTTATTTCTGAAAGAAAGCCCCTCTAAATTTACCCAAGTAAACCGGACCATATGAGCACATTAGTATACTTAAAATTGTATCAGGAAAACCAGGACCAAACAATTATCAAACACTCCAGATCAAAGAAGGGATGTGGCACCCTCACCTGGACCACATAAGGAGGAAGACATTGAGATGCTGATGCCCTCCACCCCCCCCCACCCCCCCACCCCCCACCACCACCACCCCCCCCCCCCCCCCCCCCCCCCCCCCCCGCCAACCTGTCAGCTGACCCCCTAGGGTGCGTGTCAAGGGACTGACAGGCAGAGAAATCGCGACTGTCCCAGGAGTTTCAGCTTGACTCGGGCACCACTGTTGATGTGACCTGCTCTAGTTGCCATCACTTACTTGTCCGCCTGTCTGCCCACCTGGAATCTGTTCTGTACTTTGCTTGTATGGACGTCACAGTCTTTCATCCTGTCAGGACAGGACAACTCAACCCTGAGGCCCAACTGAATTCTGATTCTGTGGCTTGACTCTACAGTAGGTCGGTCCTCCAGCAGACCGCCATTAGGGTGGGTTACCTAGTGCCTGAAGAAACTTGCCTTGCATTTCTGTCAGCCTCTTGAATGTCCATATTTTTACTGTCTTTTTTCTTTTTAGATTAGTTTAATTTTATTATTTTATGTGTATGGGCATTTTGCTTGCATGAATGTCTGTGCACCAATATTCGTGTAGGGCCCACTGAGGACAGAAGAGGGCATTGGATGCCCTGGAACTAGAGTTAGAGACAGTTGTGAGCTGTTGTGTGGGTGCTGGGAATTGAACCTGGATCGCCTGAAAGAGCAGCCAGTGCTCTTAACCGCTGAGCCATCTCTCCACCCCCAACCAATAGTCTCTTAAGGCAGTTAGTTATCTTAGTCTGCCTGGGCTGCTATAACAAAATACTCTGTAAACTGGGTGTCTTATAAACAACAGAAACTTCTTTAGCACAGTTCTAGAAGCTAGTCCTAACAGACTGATCATCTAGTGAGGGCCACTTTTCACTTTTCCACTGTGTCCTTACATAGTTGAAGGTTTAGAACTCTGTTCCCCCCTCCCCCTCCCCCTCCCCCTCCC